CCCAGCGAGAGATCTGCGGCTAGCTGGCTGCACTTGCTCCACGGGTCAGGGGATCGGAGGGGGCAGGTAAAGCCATGGGGAGCCCAGGGGTGCGGCTTTCTATGCTCAATTTGTCTTTCTCCAGTTCTCCCTCTCTTCCCTTTCTCTTCCCTTCCTCTCTCCTCACGCACATATATTCATATTCTCTCTGTCTCTCCGCCCCTGCCACACACAGACCCCTAACTCATTCACGTTTGTTATACCAGCACAAATGTCTACAAAAACCATGCGTATTAAAATCTGTGAACACAAATAAATTAAGGGTAGCCAACTCCATGCTTTGGCGGTTTGTGATTTGTGTTATGTAAGAATTTGGGAGGTGTACAGGGAAAACTTGAGTTTCGTTCCTGTGAGACAAGAAAAGTTGTGTATTAGGTAAGAGCAAATACGTGTATTTGGAGTTTGCAAAGCTGGCTTGATTTGTTTTCCAGGCTGAATTTAACCCCCACTTGCCCTCTCCACTCCTTTGCCATGTCTAAAGGTGTTTGAGTGTTTTGATATGATCTCAGGACCTACTTATTTATGTTGTTAGAAAGGGGCGTTGGGTGGGGGGTCAGACTAAAGCTGAAGACCTCAAAGAAAACAGCTGGAGTTAAACAGCTGGTGTTTGCTTAGTTGGTTCCCGGCTCTGTAGCAAAAATGTTTTCAGCACCATGGAGAGCTCCTTGGGCTCCAGACCAGGCCAACCTTCGGTGAAGGGCACGTGTGGAGTCACTTCCTTCACAAAAAAAATGGGGAAGGCGACAGATAAAAAGAAGGGACATTTAATCGAGAGAGACAGGCACAGATGAGAGAGACTTGTTTTCTTTTGCTTGTCCAGATCCAGGATCCTAATATAATTTGCTTGTCTCCCCAAATCTGCTCACATATCACCCAGAAAATAAGATTTGGGGGCAAAAAAACGAGTTTTGAAGAAGATTTGGCTATGGTTCATAGAGACTAAACCTGGAAAGTACTGAAAACAGTTTGTCAGGCCTCAACAAGGCTTAATCACCTCAAGTCTTTGAGGTTCTCCTGCAAATGGATGAGGAACTGTTCATCAGAAAGAATTCTTAATGACCTCTTGAAAAAAATGGTCCCACATATTTTTTTATTTCACATGACTAGAGTAATGTAGGAAACCAATAGCTCTATAGCTGGCAATGGCTTTTTAATTAAATCTTGCCTGGGCACCTGTTTTTCTTAGGCAGATGGAAAGTAAAATGATCATGATAGGAGAAAATGGATATAGGAGTAAAAATCAACCTAACGAGAAAATCATCCAAAGAGCCTTACTACATCTAAAATGCATGTAAACAGAAAATACAGTGGCTATACCATGAATGTATCTCACAGTATAATGGAACAGGTACCAAATAGATCAATTCTGGAGTATTTAGGAAACAAGTAATCTTTTTATTTAGAATTTGTAAAATACAAATGGATCAGTCTTGTTGGGATTATTGACTACATGGAATATAATTATATCAAAATAAGAATAACATTTGTACAGTGTGTTATAGTTTACAAAGCCCTTTTCATTTATGTTGTCTCATTTACTCTATAAACTCTGATTAGAGCCCATTGAAAAGTTATAAAATATGTTATACTTTTGTAAAAGTATAATCTCTGCTCTTGAACAAGAAGTCTTTTGTCAATATTAAAATGATTCTTTACAAATTATAAGAATGGCTTATGAAATTTAGATTTTTATCTGGGTCACATTCTGCAGAGATTTTTTTCTTAAATAGGTTTGAAGAATGCACTGTTAAAAAGAAAGTGTAAGGAGTAAACAACAAGAAGAGGAAGAGGAGGATTTCAAAGGTAAGATTCAAACCTTGTCCCATGTAAATTCATAAGCACCTTGTGGTCTGCATAAAGAAGAAGTTTAAAGAGACTGTGGGTTCTTTTTCCTCTTCTTATTTTGGTTTTGGACTTTATATATTTTACTTAAAAATATAACTTGAAAGATTAAATTAATAAGATAATTGCATATCATTACCCCTATTTTGAAAATTATTAAAGTGGCTGCATATCCAATGACTTAAAGAGTATAAAGAGGCTCATAATATAGAGCCTCAATCTCTAGCACTGTTCCAGGAAAGTAAAATATCCCTGATATGATCCATTGGTGGAAACACATTTTCAAGTTTTAAGGTCATGCTTATATAATTCCAGAATGCCTGGTTTAAAAGTAAAAAGGCTGTTAGCAGGCTTTCATGCCTTCCTGCATCCACTCTGAGTCTAACTGACTCTTTTAAGTGAATTCACCCTTTGGTTTGGTGTTGAATAAATGATCTAAATCAGCTATGTGTCCATACCTTGCAGCACTGGCCCTGTGGAAAAGTGGCTCTAATGGGAACTTCACTCTCATTATCTCAGAATGATTTTATGGGAGAGAAAAGCAGTATGAAAAATTGAATGATATTTCAAACAGAATAAATGGAACAGGGCCTGTGCCTGGCCTCACGACTGACTCACACATAGAGCCATGGGAAAACACTCATTCTTTTTGTGCCTCAATTTTCTGCTTCTCTTCTCTCAAGGAGACCATGAAGACAAATAATGTAAAGTCTGTGTGTTCTTAGAGTTCCATGAGGCATAAAGACTTATTTCTGTTTTTATGGCTATGAAAATTTTTCAAGTAAAATAAAAAGTAACTGCATATATTAAACTGAAATTCAGATTTCCGACAAATTGATACCATAGTGTACTGGTACATATAGAGATCATAATAACATATGTGTGGGTTTGTTTGCCTAAGATAGGAATTGTTCAAGGGATTCTCAGCATTTGCACTCCCTCCTGTTGCAAAACATCTTTTGGTTCCCATTTTGCTCCACTTATTGCTTCAGGAATATTTCTCCTTCCAAGCAAGAGTCCATTGAGAGCAGACTGCCCCACTTATCTTTGAAACCATTATCTCACATAATCCGGCACATAGTTAGTACTTTAAAAACATTGATGGAAGGGAGGAATAAAAAGTAAAGGACCAGTCAGGCCATCACCCACACGAACTCATGTAGAACTCTGTGCCAAGAAGTTTCAAAGTGCCTGAGTTTAAAGTGGTAAACAGGACAGAAAACCTCCCTGCCCTCATGAGGCTTACAGTCTATCATGTACACGGTCTATCAGGCCATAAACAAATAAACCACATAATAGAGTATCAGGTAGTAAGGAGCTATGAAGAGAAACAAATCTGGACAAAGGGATGGAGAGTGATAGAGGGCTGATATTTAATATGCTGATTGTAGGAAGCCTTTCAGAAGAATTTGGGTGGGGAGATAAGGTATGATTTTCTCTTCCGTGGGTCTCTGGGATATGACAGATGTGCTGTGTTGCTGAGAATTAAATATCCATTTAATGTATAACTGCGCATGCAATTGAGATAGATACCATAGGAAGAAAACCATGGGTGGATCCTCACTTAGCAGCACCTAGAATGTCCCTTTTCATAGATGACCAAACAACCAGACACTAGTGTTACTTGCATTCCATCATGATGGCCATGCAGGCAGCGAGGATGCAACAGGCTCCACTAGAGTGTTTATAAAATGAATACTCACATGTACTCACTTAAATACAATACTGGAAAACATTTTCACTCTCCACCCTGCATTTATGCACTTCCTGGGATGTTAAGACTTTCCCTAAAGAAAGGCACCCTCCAGGATTAATCATTTAACAATAGTCATAGATTTAACATACTATTTTTGCTGCTTCTACTACAGCTATTGAAATAGAAACACCAGAATTCTCATGAAACCTTGCTCATTAAGTAAATGCTGATTCCAGCTAAAAAAGCGTTTGACATATCTTCCATTTCTTCTCAAATCTAGTTTATTGTATAATAATTGCCCAGCGTTTTTGTTTTTTAAATCCAAGAGCATGGTTTTATTTATTTATTTATTTATTTATTTATTTATTTATTTATTTATAAGGAAGATTGGCCCTGCGCTAACGTCTGTTGCGAATCTTCCTCTTTTTCTTTTTTCTCCCCAAAGCCCCAGTACATAGTTGTATATCCTAGTTGTAGAGTAGTAGCTCTTCTATGTGGGATGCCGCCTCGGCATGGCTTGATGAGTGGTGAATAGGTCTGTGCCCAGGATCTGAACCAGCGAACCCGGGCTGCTGAAGTGGAGTGTTCGAACGTAACCGCCACACCACTGGGCCGGCCCCAATAATTGCCCAGCTTTCAAAGTGACCTCCTGTATCTTCTTTATGACACTGGAGGTGTCAATCAACCAAGTAGATTCCAAATAACTGTAACAGTTTTTATACTGAGGCAAAAAGTTACTGGCTTCTCTATGAGAAATGTAACTGCTGAGATTTTGTAGGTGCAAAATTCTAACTCTAAAATGTTATATTTTAAAATACATATTCTCCCAAGTGATCTTTCTCCTCTAGAAGTGAATTCCAACAAGTTAAATGTTTGGAAAAATGTATGAAACCTCTAAGACCCCTAGGGGCTGCTATTTTTTTTATTAAGGTAACATTGGTTTATAACATTATATAAATTTCATGTGTACATCATTATATTTTGACTTCTGTGTAGACTACATCTGTTCAACACCAAAATTCCTTTGTATACTGCTGATGGGGATATAAATTGGTGCAGCCACTATAGAAGACAGTATGGAGATTCCTCAAAAATTAAAAATAGAACTACCATATGATCCACCTATTCCACTTCTGGGTATTTATCCAAAGAACACAAAAACACTAATTCAAGAAGATATATGCACCCGTGTGTTCATTGCAGCGTTATTTACAATAGCCGAAACAGATGAATGGATAAAGAAAATGTGGTGTGTATATATATACAATGGAATAATACTCAACCATAAAAATGACGAAATCTTGCCATTTGCGGCAACATGGATGGACCCTGAGGGTAAAATGCTAAGTGAAATAAGTCAGACAGAGAAGACAAATACCATATGATTTCACTTATATGTGGAAGATGAAAAATAAACAAACACATGGGTACAGAGAACAGATTGGTGATTACCATAGGGGAAGGGGCATGGGGGGAGGGCGAAAGAGGTAAAGGGGGACATTTATATGGTGATAGATGGAAACTAGACTTTTGGTGGTGAACATGATGTGGTCTATACAGGGACTGCTATTTTAGGCAACATACATGATACTGAAGTAACTCGTTAAACAAATAAACAATACACAACCATCCAGCCTACTTAATACCAAGTAACTAACCTAACTGGTAGCTTATATGCTCTTTTAAACTGAAGCTTCGTACATACTATAATAAAGCAGAATTTGGGACAATCTGACAATCAATCAATGAGGGTGTGGGAGGAGGTGGGAAATAGTAAACCAGCTGTTAATCCAACAAAAATAATGGACTCATTCTGTAGATTCATGGCCAAAGACTCCTGGAAAACTACATCTGGAAGGAATTAGAGATTATCTGGTCCAACCATGTTATTTTAAGGATCATGAAACCAGAGCCCAGAGAAGTTAATGAGCTTGCCTGAGATCTCATGACCAGTAAGTTGCAGATCAAGAACTAGCATTAGAGCCCATTCTCTGTGCTGTGTGGTTAGCACAACGCAGACCATGTTCTTGTGCTCTGTGTACCTGGAGGAAAAATAAGACTCATTAGGATTCCTTTTCTAGAATGTATCTAACATCACTAAAAATCCATTCTGACTTAGAGTAGAGCCTTCCATCACTCAGGCTCAAAAACATTTGTTTTATGACACTTCCTATCTCTTTTATGATTTTACCCATATTGTGTTTAACAAAGTTGGACTACTGGGTCTCATCTTATAAAGCAGAAACATTTAACCTAGTGTGCCAGAAACAAGCCATGCAGGGACTGACTACAATATGTCACACGGTCCTGCTCTGCATCAAAGCTCAATCCTGAGAAGAACGACTTCAGGGTCTAAGGAAAATAACTCTAACTGTTGCTATGAGGGATATTTTTTTACCCCTATCATGCCTATTTTTTTTTTCATGTTAAAGTCTCTGATGCTTTATAGAAAATCTGAAAATATATACTTGGATGAGTTGGTTCTGGTTATGCAAGTATGTGATTCAGTTCATACTCCTGCTTGCTGTAGTAATTGTCATCTTTCATCTGCTCCCTGACTCATGGTGTAACCTTTAGCAGATGATTTTTCTATGCCTAAATTTCTTCAACAACAAGGCAGCATTAGTAATACTAATCCCACCTCCCCTTGACCAAAATTTTATTAGAATGTCTTGAAAGAAAGTGCTTTTTAAATTATTCTACTTATATTCACTAGTAATAGACCCTTATTAATCATCTTCATTGTATAAGCATCAAATAAAAGGTACTAAAGAGATCATCCTAGCATTTAAAATCTGAAAACGAGATTAACAAAAGAATTTGATCCATCAGACTTTGCTGCGCTAATCAGGCAATGTACATTCTAAAATGAAATAATATACTTCTGAAATGTTTAAAAGTAAAAAAAATTTCCTCCCCTGCTCTCTCCTCCTGGGTGATTTCTTCAGAAACCGGAAGAAGGCACAGGGAGGTAAGCACTAATGTAATACTGACCAACACTGAAAAAGATGAGGTTACTGGTCACCATCAGTAGCACCTGTTTATATCATTTTTCTAAGATCAGGGCCATATTTTCCTAAATTTGACTCTATTTTCTAGTCAAAACTCATTCGTGGCTAACAGCACACATTTACCAAGATATTCTTATGGGTTGACTTTGTGGCCATGGAACAGAGAAATGCTAACTATCCCTGGTTTCAACTTTGATTTTAGCCCCATGATGCTATCCAACCAAATCTAGCGGTTACATAGGGGCACTTGCTAGAACTTTAACTTTTTCCTTTTGGCTAAAGATTACTACTTGGTTTCTTGATAAGTAATTGAAAACATTTGCTATGTCTTCTGTTAGCCTGGATTATAGCACAAGCCCTGAGAGAAACTAGTTCAATGGGAAAATACCCTTCTATATTGTTTTTTACTTTGTCATGTTGAAACTGACTCTGTCCTGAAAAGGAAAACCATCTAGAGGATAATTGAAAAAAATCCAAAGAAGTATTTCACTTCTCCAGCTATATATTTATCTGCTTATGTGGAGATCAGAAAACCAAAGAATAGAGAATTACTAAGAATTTCCTTGCTCATCAAAATTGCTATCCCTCAGTAATTCCTTTTTTTTTTTTTAACATGAGTTAATAACCAAAAGCCTCTATGAGTATTGATTAGGTCAAATCAAGTAGGAATTTCCATCTTAAGAAGGCAGAGTCCCAAACAACCTACCCAGAGCACAGTTTCATTTAACGATTCTCTGAATTCTTGTATATGCTAGACACTTCATGGAAAATAATATAAGGTTGGATCTACCCTCTCCATTATGCTCTAGCATCCCACATGGGCAGATGTATCCACAAATAATGACTGAAATATCTGGTGCTAGAGTCAATGAGGTGCAAATTATTGGCCAAACCCTTTGTGATTGATAAAGCATGAAGCGTTAAGTTGCTCAGCAGCTTTCGTACAATTTGACAATTAGTTAAAACATTAGAGCAAGATACAGGAGATCCAAAGGCAAAATTTCAAACTGCTAAGAGTAACACTAAGTAGCTTCCTCAAGGGTATGTGGTTACGCATCTGAGAGGACAGTCGAAGACAAATTCCATCTGGAGCAAGGGAGAGTGCCTGCCTAATTCCTTAATATGTAAGTGTAAAGACTACTGGATTTTAAGAGACTAAAGATTTCTTGTCAAGACAATGAAAGTCTCAGCTTCTCTGCTGCCATTTCTCATGTGCTTCATGCTTAAATTTTTGTATAATTTAAATGAGCTCTGCTGTTATGTCTCATTTCATTTTGGAGAACCAGTTCTAGTCATTGGAGTAATTTTGCATTAAGTAGAAAAGAGCAGCTTATAAGAAAGACAGGTCTTTAAAAGTGCCTTTTCTCTTAAGAAAAGAGCATTGTTCAAACACACTGACATTACTCAGCCTGGTTCTCACCTTTAATATGCCATTTGATCTTGGGGCCAGAGCCCATGGGGCTGACACATGTGGATGTTGTCATTCCAGCTGGGAAGGATGAGTTCTTGCAGCAACATCTGTGGATCCAAGCAGGCACAGCCTGCTACAGAGGGTGGGTACCAGCGCTATGGAGTCCGGTCCTACCTGCACCAGTTTTATGAAGACTGTACCACCTCAATCTGGGAGTATGAGGATGATTTCCAGATCCAGAGATCACCTAACAGGTGGAGCTCAGTGTTCTGGAAGGTAAGGAAAGAGCATGTGTTTAACTCAGGAAACGGAAAAGTTATTGGATGTGGTAAATACTGTAGCTCTAGGGAACTGAGAGGTTTGGTACTGTCTGTGTGTGCATCACTCCTGGTTTCTCTAAATGCAGTTTTCTTCCCTTAGGAAAGGAGAATATAAACCTTGGGCTGAAAAGGACCTCTAAACACAGCACAATTGTCGATTTGCAGGTTAAACATAAATAGGTATAATTGCCATCATTAATTATTATTACTTTTGCTACTGTTTTTAATGTGCCATTAAATTCACCAACTGTGAAGCCATCTATAGGCAAAACATTGTATGCTTTAAGCCTCCCTTACAGGCTTGGTAAGTATCATTTGACAAATTACATCAATTATCAAAAAGAAATAATTGAGTAGAGAGAGCTAATGCTGAGATATAATACAGTGGTCAGTGTACCAGCTCTACCTCTACCAGATCTGTAATCATGAGGCTTTCTGAGCCTCAACTTCCTCAAATAAAAGAGCTTCATTAGACAATTCAATATTTGCTCATACAACATATAATTAGTGGGCACCTATTCTGTGCCAAGAAGTTGCACATTGCTGGAGATGAAAGTGGTAAATAGGAGGAGAAAAAGTCCCTGCCGTGATGGAACTTACAATCTATCATAAGAAGCAGACCATAAACAAATAAACCACATAATATAACGTCAGACCGTGACAAGTGCTATGAGTATATTTCAAGTGTATATCAAGTGGTTTTTAGATATGCTGATTGTAGAAAGGCTTTCAGAGGAGATGACATTTGCGCAAATGGTGGATGAGCTGAGGGAGCAGACCATAAAATTGTCTGGCTGAAGGTCATTCTAGGCTGGGAAAATAGCAAGTCCAAAAGCTCTGAAATGGGAACAAGTTTGGTGCATTTGAAAATTAGCAAGAGGTCCAGTCTGATTGGAGTGGAATGAGAGGGGGAAAAGAACAGGTGATGAATTCGGAAAAATAACAGGGCACAGATGATTTCTGTAGAGCCTTGTAGATGATGGTGAGGACTTTGGCTTTTACCTTGAGAGACATGGGAAGCCACCTGAACATTTTAGGCAGAGGAGTGACATGATCAAAGTAGTTTTTTAACAGAACCATTCTAGCTACTGTACAGAAAATAGATTATCGAAGGACAACGGTAGAAGCAGCTAGATCATTTAGGAGGCTATTAAAGTACCCCAGCAAGAGATGATGGTGGCTTAGATTAAGGTGGTGTTAGTGGAGATGGTGAGAAGTAGTCAGATTTAGCATAAAGTCTGAAGGCCAAGCTGTCAAGACATACTGATGAATTAGATGTGAGAGAAAGAGGAGTCAGGCATGACTCACTTGCAGCCTGAGCTATTCAGTGAATGATGTTATGAATTTACTGGGCTGGGGAACGCTAGGAAATCAATGGGATGGCTGGAGAACCAAGAGTTTGTTTTTGGCCATGTTATATTAGGGATGCCCATTAGACTTGCAAGTGGAGATGTGTGGTGGTAATTTGTATATACCAGTCTGCAGCTCATAGACTGGGAGTCACTGACATGGAATGTATATAAGGCACCAGATTAGACGTGATCACCTGGGAAGAGAGTAGGGACATCGAAGGGAAGACGGCATTGGGACGTTCCAACACTTAGCAATCAAGGAAAGGACGAAGATTCAGGAAAGGATGCTGAGAAGATGCAGCCTTGGATGATGTCTCAGGTCCCCTCCAGCCCTAACATTCTGTGCCTCTGGGATTTCCAATCATTTCCAGCTTTCTCCCAAAAGATCTCAGAATTTCTTATATTGATATTGACATAAACTTACAATTTACTGGCAATATAGTTTAACAAGAGGCAATGTAGTATAATGATTATGTGCATGGATTCTGTCCTCAGATTACATGGGTTCAAGTCCCAGCTCTTCTTTTTAATAGCTCTGTAACTTTGGGCAAGTCAGTTGACCTTAATGGGCCTCTAACAGTGATACTTATAGTACCTACCACATAAAGTTGTGAGAATTAAATAGGATAATATTTACAAAGAGCTTAAAACAATGTCTGGTATGCACTCAATAAGCATCTGATGTTTTAGCTACTATTACCAGATGCTGCATGGAACATTGAGTTCTAAAATGGAAATAAAACTGGAAATCTAGTTAATAAATAAAGTATTGGGTAACATAGTTGTTAACATGGATTACTCAAGACTTGTGTTAATTCAAAATCTTACTAGTGTCACGTATTCTGCATTAGAATTGGTTAAGCCAGCATCCTTGCCCTGTAGAAATGTTGCCTCTGATGAATCCTTACTGGCCTGTACCAATGAAATACATAGCCAAGCTTGGCACATCTTGTATTTACCCAGATAAGTGGGTGGTTGCTTCTCTATGTGTCAAAAAAACAAATATTTGCCTGACAGATCTGTTGTGCCAAGAGCCTAAAATGCCACTGACTTACAAAATATTGTATGCGTTCATGTGGATCCAAAGCACTAGTGGTTGTGTGATTTGTGAAGCTGTAAATCCATCAAATAATGTATAGGCATAGATTTAAAATAAAGAACTCACAGTAAATTACCAGTCCCAGAATTCAGATTTTGATATTTTCTCCCTTCGATTTTAGACAAACAAGATCCAAAAGTATTTGTTCCCTGTTGTGCTGGACCTACTTCAGAAAATAAAAACAGCAGAAGTCCATGGCCTTATAGAGATTATATTCCAGCAAAATCCCAATTCTAGACTCATATCCTAATCATAAAACACTAGACTAGGCATTCAGAAGCCTACAGTCAACCTGACTAACCTAAGAATTCACTGTCTTAGAGACCTCACCTCTACCAAGGGAATAAACCAACCGTTCTAGCGTTTCCTCCTAAGGAATATAAGTGAATTTGTCCCAATGGGTTTATGAAGCGCTTTCTACCAATACAGAGAAAAGCACTGGTTAAACACATGTTTCTATTATGATTCGTTTTTAATGTTTTTTTCTTTCATTTAAAACTGCATCTGTTGGTGGTTCAAGGTGTTGGCTTCCCCTTTCTCTTCTTCCACTACAGTGTTGCTAATGGCATGTTGGTCTCTCACTGGGGGCTATGCTCACAGTGCCTCTGTAGCACTCTGCCCTTGAGTGAGCTCCCTAGCAGTGAGCAGCATGGAGGGGCTTAATAAGAACAGAGATTGGAATCAAATGGGCTTGAGTTCAAGTCTGTGCTCTGTCGCATGGATCATCGTAACATCCATCTCACAATGCTATTCTTTCTTTCTACAAATGTTTACATGTTCACTATGCACAAGTCTCTGTGGTAGGCTCTGAGATTCAGTTGTGAATGAGACACTATTCTTCACCTATGAATAAGATATAGCTTTGACCTGAAGGAGTTCACAGTCAAATAGGGAAGGTAGACATGCATACCAATTGTTACAATCCACCATGATAAACACTCCCCTAAAAGTAGTCACAGTCCTTACCGGGAGCATGGGGTTTGGGAGCAGGGAAGACCTGATGCAGCTCGGGGAAGAAATGGCTCCTCAGAAGAAATCACCTGTGAATAAGCAGGAACAGGGCATGCAGGCAGCTTGCAAAAGCTGAGTCGTGAGAGAAGATGGCATGTTCAGGAGACTACAAACAGTTCAGTATGGCTGGGGCAAAAGTTTAGAAGTTGGAGGAGAGAGGTCAGGAGATGAACGTGGGAATGCATATAATAGCCAGATCACAGAAAACTTTGAAAGGCTGTGAAATGGAAATTTCTCTAGAACCTTCCAGCATGGGTACAGTAAGGAGGCAAGATAATAAATCTAGGCTTTCTTGGGGAGATTGTCTCACAGTCAGGTATAAACACACACACACACACACTCACAGTATTACACACATTCTCGGTGCCTCACAGGTTCTGGATTACTGTGTGGTTACCTCAGTCACTACTGATTTATCTCGGTGCCTATAACTGCTTCCATCTGCATAAACCTATGTGACATGTTCCACCTACCCCCTGCCAGCCACTGCTGCTGCCCACAGATCAAACGGGCTGTGGTGGAATTTTTCTTTCTTATTCTGGTACTTGACCTTGACTAAGGCTGTTGTCACTTGATTGTCTGTGCAATGAACAGCCTCTGTATGGCAGGTATGAACTAATGGGAGCAGTCTTCTCACCCCCAATCATTCTTTCCTCACCTCAGAGTTACCCTCCTTCTTACCTTCTCCTCAACCCATATGAGAAATTTCTCAGAGGGCGTTCAACAGCAATGTGCACGTACAGGGCAAGACTGCCCCCTCCACAGCCTTACTGAAAATGAAAGTGACTCTGATCCCTCTCTTTTCTCTTAAGACCCCCGTTAGCCTCCTATCTGGCCTGATCTCTCTAGTTTCCTCCCTGAGCTAAGTCAGAGTTTAAACTTTGTTCTTAGATTTGTCTTCAAGTTTTGCTAGATATTAAGGAGTTGGTTTTATGCTAGAGATGAGAAGAGCTATGGAAACCTCATAAGAAGAGAAAATAGGTGGTATTCTTTCTGTTTCCAAACATTTTGTCAGATGGCATTTGAAGGGTGGACAAGGAAGGATGAGGCTAGCAATGGAGACGTTCCAAATAGTGTTTCAATAATCTGGGCAAGATATAATAATAGTCTGCACCCTTAGAGTAGCTGTTGTGCTGGAGAGGAAAAACAAGATTCAAGAGAGGTTTATGAGGTGGAATCAATAAGATTTAATTATCTGTTAACTGAATGTGAGGAGGGACAGTGAATGGGTGGATGACCGGAACACAGATAGAAAATTGGGAAGGAAGGAAGGAAGGAGTACCATTTTGAATAGTTTGAGTTTGAGGAACATTTGGGACATTTTTGTGTAAAGCCTCCTAGTGGCTGTCAGAAATACGAGGCTAGAGCCCAAGAGAGAGATGTAAGCTAGAGCTGGAGATTTGAAAGTCATTGGTATACAGGGAGGAGTTGAAACTGTAGCCACAGATTAAACCATAGAGAGAACATACTGAAGAAGAGACTTGAGTCAAAGGTGCCATCCTGGGGGACACCAATATTTTAAAAAGAACGTCTGGCCAAGCAGGTTAAGATTGAGATCTTAAAGGAGATGTAGAAACAGGAGAGAGTTGTGTCTAGGATGACAATAGGTGATGGTTTTAAGAAAGCATAAGTGTTTACCATCAATGACTGCAGAATATTCAAATGAGGTAAAACTCGACAGTTAGGAGGTCATTAGTGACCTTTGAGAGAACAGTGTCAGTGAAGTCAGGGAGGACAAAGCGTGGCCATCAAGAGTAGGAGTGAATTCAAGCAGTAGCTAGAGAGGGGCCCAGGGCTCTAGAATAGAATTTTGAAGATGCAAGTGATTGAATATGTTCACGTGCTGGAGGGACAGAGTCTTTGTAAGACAGAAGAGTTAATGTGGGATACCATTACCCAGGAGAGGGAGCGCTGTGAAGACTGCATGAGTTAAGGGATACGAAAGACCTAGATCATAGCCTGGCATCGGTTGTTGCTTTGTAAAGCTCCATGTCCCTACAAGCAGGTCAGGCAAGAGGGTCGGGACAGATGAGCTAGAATCTGCCATCACTGCTGGCGGGTGACACCACTCAGAGCTCAGGTCCCGCTCAGGAAAGGTCAGCAGCAGCCCTCAGAGCTGATGAAGAAGAAAAGCCACTTCACTTTTGATGCACTTCCCCTGAATTACCTCTAACCCAGATGGCTCCTTTCACATTTAGCTCCATCCAGCGCCCCACTCCCCGCCACCGCCCCGCCACGCTAGTTCTTCCCTGACACGCTAGTTCTTGCTTCCAACAGTCATTACTGCCTCCTCTCTGCCAGAACAGCTGCGCTGTTGCTGCTGCCAGCTCTGCTTATTGGAGTAAACTGCATTTTCAGACCTCATCAGCTCACAGAGATAACAGTGAAGGAGATGTTGATCAAAATAACAGCAGTCTCTGGCTTGTCACTCCCAGCAGCAGAATTTCTGGAATCCAAGTTCTCCTCCCTGTCCAATCTTCCTTTCCAACATCAGAGATTGTGTTTTCACATACCCTGTGTGACATCCTTCCCAAAGCCAAGAGAATCATCAGAAGTCACAGCACAAAAACTGTCATTGCTGCTGTCTTGAGGGTTTGTCTCAGCCTGGAGGTCCTTCTCTCTCACTGTGGGTGTTCATCTAACCACCTCACAGCGCCAGGCTGCTCTGGGACGCCTGGGGGAGCCCCTTGCCCAGCAGCATTCCAACTCTTCTGCATGGCCCCAAATAGGGCTGCTTTGCTCTCTTCGACCCTTAAAAGACCTCTGTGTTGCATTTTTTAAACTCTCTCTGTTTAATAGAGCCCCCTTTCTCTTACACCTAGGACCACTTCAACTTTTTTTGACAATTTTTATGATACTGTATGGCATCACTCCCCAAATTCTTATTCTTTTCAGGACTCCAACATGGTACCAGGAGTCCCTTTCTGGGCTCATCTCTTGAAGATCCTCCTTAGACTCGCTTTGATGGCACCTTCAGAATCCTGGGAGTTAGCTATTCGTTAGGTCATGCTCCCCTCCACAGACAGCGAGCCTCTCTCTCATACTCTGACATAACAAGGAAAAGGGAGAAGGCTCAGAGAGGCCAGCCATTTTCCAGTTCTTGAAGTGAGCAGGAGTTCTGCCATCTGCAAGGCGTGGTTTGCCTTTTAGCTTCCGAGGGATATTCCAAGGGTGGATTTTAATCTCTAACGCACTGCTCAGTTGAGGAGCAGACTGCTCTGAGAATCAATCACCTGGCTCCATATTCAGCAGTCTGGTGGTTTAAGTTAGTCAGTCAGGAATATTTATTGAGTGCAAGGCTGGAATGAGAGCTGCGGTGAGACAAGACAGAAATAGAAGACAAAGAGCATTGGCCTCAGTTGCTCTTAAGAACCTCAGAAACTAAGATGGATACATTTTTGCTGCTCTCAATTTTTGAGAATTAGTGCCAGTTCTTGAGGAGGAAGGTAATTTAGTGACATATGAAGCATGTCACCATGGATATTTAAGTTAATTTAGTTTGTATATTCAGGACTTTCCAATGTGAGTCATTTTTTTTTAAGTTATGAATAATGGTTAGTCTTTGGAGGTGAATTGATTTGCTGCTATTTTTAGAAAAATGTAGAAAGCCATCCAAAATGTTATATTTTACAACCCAATTTTTCCTGTAGTACTTTAATCTTATATAGAACAGTTTCTATTATTTTTTTCAGAAAACGTTATGTTAACTCTATTTTTCAGTTTCTTTACTATATTATGTAATAGAAATTAGTCCATATAGGGTAACTAAAACTCTGTTGTAATTTTTAAAAAGTAATAGCAGTAGTAATTGGTGAAGTATCCTGGGAGAATTAAAATGGGGAATACGGCTTAGAAGTCATGTAGACCTGGGTTGGAACCCAGCCATACCACCTGCTAACTCTGGGACCTTGAACTATGCTTCTTCGACCCTATAAACCTCAGTTTCTTATAGGTGAAATAGGAATAAAAATACCTTCCTCTCATAAGATGCTGGTGAAAACATATCTAGCTCTATGTCTAGGTCACAATAGAAGCTCAATGATACTAGTTCTCCCTCCCCCTCCACTTTGCTAGGGTGATGGATTTGTGAATGTTTTCCTTCTGTTATTGAAACCTTCCTTATTAGTGTATTACCCTGAAATTTAACAAATAAATAGGTTAAATAAATATACTTTAAATGTTCAAGATTAAATAGTGTTATGCATTTGGCTATTTTTCCAACCTTGTTATTCTAACTAAAAGCAATCAGGAACAGGAAGAAATGAAAAGTGTGGTTAAAAAATAATTAACTATATTAGCTGTTCTTTATTCCAAGCTCTGAGCAGTGGTTGTAATGCTGTTGCCAGTGTAGCATAATTTTACAAGAGAAGCATGTCCAAATAATAATAATAATAGCTACTTATTACAGTGCATTACTTAGCCAGGCACAGGGCTCAGTGGTTTCACGCATGATCTCATTTAGTCCTCACAACAGCTCTATGAGGTAGGTACTATTATCATTTATCATTTTATAGATGGGGAGATTAACAACAAGAGCATTTAAGTGACTTTCCTTATATGATTCAAGTACTAGTTGGCAATGCTAGAATCCAAGTCTGTTAATTCCAAACCTCTGAGCTTAAACCACCAAATGGTATATTACTTTCCATCTTCAGTGTGTTACATTTTATTAGAACTTGAGCTAATGCAATTTAATCTCCATCTGCTGTTCTTAACACTTCTCACCATCTGCACAAGGAAAACCTAAATAGCTACATGTTAAAAGAGAAAAAACACTGGCCTGGAGGTCAGATCTGTGGCTTCTAGCCCTGCCTCTGCAACTCACCAGTGACCTACCCTCCCAGAGTCTACATTTCCTCTGGCACTTATGGTTCCTTCCCCACTTACTTAGGGTAAGTAGTTACACAGACTGTCAATGTCCTCCAGCCAAAATCACCAGGAACATACCTATATGCTGAATGAGTTGAGTTTATTACTCATCACAATGAGAGAGAAAGATACCATAGGGGCTCCTGGGGCATTTCAGTAAGAGACTGTGAGAAAGGATGTATTATAAAATGTGGGCTTTGGTTGGGTGATTTGGGGGAGGGTCTAAGGGAGCAGGAGTTCACTCTGGATTGTCAGAGACAATTCTATGATTGGATATCTTAATAAATCTTATCTATGGGGGGCGTAGACTAGAGTGAGACTAAAGCTGTAGTGGGTAGAAAAGCAGCAATCATTCATATTAGCCAGGGGTGGGCAGGGGGCGGAGGAGAATGGGGCGAGGGTGTTTGTTTGGTATTTCTTGGTTTCCACATGACCTTGTTTTTGTCTGTGCTTAGACAAAATTACGAAGTGGTCTTGTTTTATGTCACTCCATCACAGGCGCAGAATGAGCTTGTCTGATGTTGATGTTCTGTGCCATCCATTGTGTCAAGAGGAGAACAACATGGTATCACTGTGAGCTCCAGGCCAGTTTCTAACAACATCAAGGCCTAGTCAGGCCAGCTCCTGGATATCAGGGCTACTTTTCTCTTCCTCAAGACCAAATGGGGCAACGTAAGCAAAAGGAGGCTTTGTCAATTGCAAAGCATTGTGCAAACAGAAAGCTCAAAGGAAAAATCAAGACAGCGCTACAGTTTCTGGTTGACATTAAAATCAGAAAGTTCCTCCTTTCACCTTCTTTTTTGACTAGAAAATTATGTAGGCTTCTCATACAAATTTGGAGTGACTAGGAAAATGCACTTTTCCCCAAAAATAAGACAAGTCCTGCCCTGGAGGGCTCAGGGATATCTGAACCACCGTGCTTACTCTGTCTTGCTTCATTGTGTCTTTCTCTAGGTCGGACTCATCTCTGGCACAGTCTTCGTGATTGTCGGATTGACTGTTCTGGCGGTGGGCTTTCTTGTGCCCCCCAAAATCGAAGCCTTTGGCGAAGCCGATTTTGTGGTGGTGGACACCCATGCTGTCCAGTTTAACGGAGCCCTTGACACGTGCAAGCTGGCAGGAGCCGTTCTCTTCTGCATTGGGGGCACGTCCATGGCAGGGTGCCTGCTGATGTCAGTGTTCGCCAAAAGCTACTCCAAAGAAGAACAATTCCTCCAGCAAAAGTTTAAAGAGCGAATTGCAGACATCAAGGCCCACACCCAGCCTATTACAAAAGCTCCAGGCCCAGGGGAAACAAAGATTCCAGTCACTTTGTCCAGGGTTCAAAATGTCCAGCCTATCGCGGCAACCTGAAAGATTTCCAGCCCCAGTACTCTCCTCTCTGATTTACACACAGTGTTAAAATGGAGCAGGCCAGTTTTTGAGATGGCAGGAATTTGGCGTTGACTTGCCCCAGGGCTGTGCTCGGCTGTGGGCAGTACAGTGCGTGGGCTCACCCTCGCTCAGTTCAGGTGGGTCTGGAGAAGGTTGATGCCATGTGTCAGCCTGTGCACGTGCACCCAGCTGCTTAAAGGGGTGCTTCTGTGTGCCCTCCTGGAGCCCTCGGGAACTCCCCTCTCATTTATTGTGACTGTGTGTCATTTTCTGTGTTATTGGAAAGTGCTGAACAGTTTAGACCAGCCTACCAATGGCCAACATGGTCCATTTCATTTTCTAATATTGGTTTTTCTAATCTTTCCTGTGTGGTGCTGCCTTCCATCCCTGTCCCACTGTGTGTAAGATATTGTCATGTGTGTTCATAGAAAAATCGAGTTCCCTGATTTTGACCCAAACATTAGTCTTTTAACTATATCTTAACACGAAGTTCCTGAGATTGGATATAAATGTATCGGAGTTCGCCACTAATCTTTTTTGTTGTTTCCCATTTTTTTTACTTAAAAGGCTAAAATTGCCAACTTTAGAATCTTGGGAAAGAAATTAATATTAGGAGTATCTATTCATGCAGTGTCCAAAAGCACTGAATTCGAAGCCAGGAAATTTGAGTTCCTGCTACCGACTAGCTGTGTGATCTTGGGGAAATCATTTAACCTCCCAGGTCTCAGTTTCTCCATCTGTATAGTGGGGGTCCGGGACTGTGATGTCTGAGATTCCTTTTTCGCCATGTGTCATCGTGTCTCCCCCACTAAGGATGTTTACGATGTCCTTGTGGCTCTCACCACGGTGGAATTCTCTGGACTCCTGGAAGGTTTGCCAAGTCAGCAGCCTTCTCGCTACCTACTCTTAAATATCCAACCCCAACAGGTTATACAATGCTATCATATTTTTATAAAGACAAAAGTAAGCCATCCTCAAATAAGAAATCCGTGAGTAGATATTAACCTTAAAAAGGGTTTTCTTTCTCAAATAAGACATTTTATTCTCCAGCAAAATGTTCATCTCATCCCTTCGCACTTTTATTTAATCTGTGGATTTAAATTAGACTGAGGGAAATGGAACATGTGACCTTGGTCTTCTCTCAGAATTTGTGCCACCTTCAAGTTCTGTCTTTTTTTTCCTTTCTTCACTGGATAAATAAAATATGTGAAACAAGCAGAACCTGAATTGCATTGTCATCCCCTCAGTGTGGCTATTTTCTCTCCAACATGTAATTTTCCATTCTGAGGCTGAATAAGCTCTGATGTTCCCCTGGCTAAATGGAAGAATAAATGAGGCAATTAGTGCTCTTTGCGCACACTGTTTATTTTGCACAGTCCAGCATAAAACACAGGGTAAATCAGCATCCTCAACAAGGATCATTGGCCAGATTTGGGAGAAATTGTTCCAGTCTCTTCAGGTTCTCACCTTCCTGTGGAAATACCATTTTAATTTTATTCTTTGAAGCCTTATTCAAGCCCTAAGCATCTGTTCAAGGCTACATCATTTGAAGCTTTCCATGTTTGCTTCTGTGTTGTGCACCAATGAATCTTTGAGGATGCGCCTTGACTTTTAAAAGCCTCCAGAATGAAAAATAATGGCTGGAGGGCTTGGGAACTTTTCGGTACAGGCATGATAGCAGCCATAAACAAGCAGCTCTACTCCTTAGACAAAGGCCTAAAAGAAACAAAGATGGATAAAGGAGGAGCTGGGTCTGGGAGATTCAACATGCCCCGTCTCTCCTGTCCTGCCCAGGCTTTGTGGAAGTGGGTACTCGTAAGGACCCTCCCAGGCCCCATGGGAGGGATTGGGGGCTATTGCAGGAAAGCAGAGGAAGGAGGCTGAATGGTATTAGGAATTAGGAAATACAGTTTAATCTTTGGAAAGAGTACAGGCTATGTGTAATCAGAGGGCAGGGAGCAGCAGACTAAAGACTTTTCAAAGCGATTTTCAGGCCCGACTGGGCAAACATCAGTGCTATGGCAAACCAGACGGTCTTAGAGCCTTGGTTTCAGCCTGCTTGCTCACACTGAACCAGTTCTTCACTTCAGTCCTGAAACTCCTAAAGCAAAGTGAAACCACATCCTTATAGCTGGAGAGGGATGTAGGGGAGAAGGTGCTGAGACTGCAACTGAAGAAACTTGGAAATGAGTTCTGGCCTGGAGATCGTGTAAACAGAGCGTGTGGAATCAGTAGAAACCTTAGATGATATGGACCCAAGCAGGCAGAAGACTCCCCCACCACCCCATGTCAGGACTGACCCAGCAACCGCCATTTGCGTGGGCACTTCTGGAGACTGGACCCCTACTGCCTCCCAGGGCAAGCCTCTGCATCTTATGATGGTACTGTATGTTTAGAAAACCATATAACCACATGCCTTTCCCAAAACTGCCTTTCTAACCCTTCCACACATTGGACCAAATTCTATAATTCAAAGTTACCTACAAGTCTAACTGCTGTTACATAGGACTGCCTAGCCCTCCCACCCTGGCCCCAGGCCATCAATTTTTTCATTCAGTTATTTTCAGTCCAGTTGCTTCCCTGATTGTGTTGTTCAAGGTGACATTTCTATATGTTCTCAATGTTCCTAATTTGTCCATGCCACCTATTAAATAGGGTCCCTAGAAGTTTCAACATTTATATAGGTTATAGACTCCCTAACTTCATTAATTGCCTTACTTACTATGTACACAGTACCTCAAGCCAGAAAACTGATGACAAGAGATTGATTGTGTAAGCAACTCGTTTGTGTGTTCCCAAGGCCTACTGTGATCAATTCCAGCTCCTTCCCAGTTTTATTCTGACACATGCCCAGGAACCCTGCATTCTAGTCACACTCAGCTACTCCCCTCTCTAAATGTGCCTGCACTTCCCTGCCACTATGCCTTCATTCACAAAGTTTATTTTCCCAGCAATAACCATCATTCTCTGGCTATTGAACTCATCATTCTAGGCCACATCAGGAAATAATAGCAATAATAATGAGAGCTAATATGTATTGAATGAGAGGCACCATTGAAGCATGTTATGTATAGTAATTCATTTAATCCTCACAAAAACTCTATGAGGTCAGAGCTATTATCATATGTCCATTTTACAGGGGCGGAAACAGGCAAAGAGAGGATAACTTGTCCACAGAAAACCAGTAAGTGACACAGGCAGGATGCCAATCTAAGCAGCCTGCGTCCAGAGGCTGCACTCTCATCCAATATGCTCTTCTCCTCTAGAAATATCACCTTGTCTGCAGCTTTTCCTTGCTCTCCCTCTCAGATTTAATGTCTCTTCCTCAAGTGCCAGCATTTTGTACAAACAACACTCTATCGCACTTCTCTCTCTTTATTGCAATGATTTGTTTACACACCTGTTTCTTCCATTAGAAGCTAGCCTATTAGCTGCTTGGGTACAGGGACCATGTCTTAATGTGGTGAACCCTCATTAGTGAATACATAAAGCTACGTGCTACTATTATTTTATATTATTTTTATAACAATTTTTGAATTTTTACTTAAAGCTGGGCATTGTGCTGGCACAATAGAAAACAGATTATTAGGGGCATTAAAGTTTTTGCATACCTAACGTGTGTGTTTGCGTGTGTGTGTGTGTGCGTATAGGGAAAAAAATCTATTTTCTGGAGAGGCCTAAGACTGAGAGTATGGATATGGTTGCCCCAGAGCAAAGCTCTCCTCAATCTAACACTTGGGTTGGGAGGAGCCCAGTCTAATGGCTAGCTTGCCATTACTACAACTAAAAACAAAATCCTCCAGCCAACAAGCCCTGCTCAGTGACATAGAGATACCAGCCATACTTCTCACTCCTGGGAGAGCTTGTTGGAAGAGCTAGACCTGCCTAGTCAAGAGCAGAGTAAATTGTCTCCAACAGTCCTAAATAAACAACCTGGTCCTTCATCCTTCAATATGAAAGTACAACCAGAATCTTCAAACATCTGAGGGAAATCAGCACCTTGAAAGAGGATATGCATAAAGAATAATAGACTCCAAAGGAAACATAAGCATTTTAGAAATCACAGGAGAACTCTAAAAAAAAAATCTAATTAGTCTTCAAGAAGAAATTACATCAATAAGACAAAAATAGAATGCTATGAAAAAGAACATTAAATAGTTTAAAAATAACAAATTACTAAAGGAATAAAGGCATTTCCCAAAAAGTAAAATCCCCTCTCATAAAAATAAAGAAAAATAGGAGACAAAAAGTAGAAGACATAGAGATTCAATCAAAGATAAAAAGATAACAAAAAGAAAAATAGAGGAGAAAAAATTCATCAATAAAATAATAAAAGAAAATTTCTCATGGCTATAGAATACAGAAATCTTCAGATTAGAAGCACCTGCTGAATACTCAGCACTAGGAATGGTTTAAAAAAAAAGTCAGACACACTTTTGTGGAATTTTAAGACACAAAAGATAAAAAGAATCCAAGAGGCTTCCAGACAGAACAACCAGACATCTACAAAATAATAAAAATTGGACTGAGAAAAGAGAAGGGCTGTGATTTCATGCAATGGATGGTAAGGTAACTTTTAGTCTACAGGAAATACATGTTATCAAGAAGAAAAAAGAAAAGCAATAGAAACTCCAAAAAGAAAATTTAAAAATAAACTACACAAGGAGATCATGGTCCAAATATTAAGCATGATGGTGGAACCACAGCAAAGAATTGATAAAGTAAAGGACAGAGAAGCCATTTGAAATTTGACCTTCCCGCTAGGCACAGGCTACTTCTAATAGAACAGGAGCTGGGATGTTGAATCCGCAGAGGAGGAACTGAACCCTGCCGCCCCAGTAGTTCTGCAATGACAAACATTTACAAAGACAAAATAATACAAACTCTTTACTTTTTTTTGATTTTCAGAATCAAACTATAGACAAAAGTCTAAATTATGATTATAAAAGTGTATATGTGATAAATCTGATGATGTGAATGTAAAGGTAGAGCTAGCTAAATTTGGAAAGCAGAAGAAAAAAGTTAAGGGGGGATAATAGTAGGAATATTAATATCATCCTCAAATTTAGTGAGGAGGTAAGAGTAACCATCTAAAGTTCATGGAGAGAAGTAATGGCTTCAGTTTATAATTTGCAGTCATAAAGATAACGAAAGAACTAAAACTGAAATTTGACAAATATTAGAAAGAAGAGAGGGAATAAAATGAGATGTAAAGAAAGTAAATTAAATCCTCATCTTTAATTGTAGCAAATCAATCATTATTGTCTCAGTTAATAAATCAAGAAATAATAAATAAGTATATCATGTAGAGTTACAGAGGAAACCACTAGAGGAATTTCAAACAGGAAATATTAAAAGAGGTTGCCTCTGAGAAAGGTTAGGGGAGGCCAGGCGTAAGGCAGGACTGTTTTATTCACATAGTGAAGACCAGGACAGACAGAGTTCCTATCCCCATGGCCTTTATATAGAATTGAAGCAAATCCTCGTTGTGTTAGATGCTTCAGAAAAAGAGCATCAAGGAATACTGTTTAAATAAAGGGATTTATCCTAGATTAAGGTTCTGGGAAGGCCTCCCTCAGGAAGTGATATTTAATCTGTCTTGAAATATGAGCAGAAGTTAACCAGAGTGATCCTGGCCGAAGAAGGAATTTGTTCTTTCTGTGTGTTGGGGGAAGCGAGCAGTGGACTATGTGAAGAGAGAGAGAAGAGCTTTCAAGGCAGAGGGAACAGCACATACAAACTCCCAGAGCCA